CTATTCTCTCCCTCCCTTCCCTGCAAACAGCTGCCCAGCTCCCAGGCCCTGCCCCCCCGCCAGATGTTCGTCTCCCTCCCTCCCTGTGTCTCTCCTCCGGGAAGCGCCCTGTTGTCTGCTCAGGCTAGGACTGGGGGTCCGGGCCAATCCCCATGCGGGTGAGTCAGTGGGAATCACACCGCACAGTGCAGGGGAACCCCGGGTTACAGAGCGGACAGCCCCCCCACCGGCCAATCCCCATGCGGGTGAGTCAGTGGGAATCACACCGCACAGTGCAGGGGAACCCCGGGTTACAGAGCGGACAGCCCCCCCACCACGTCACACAAGGCTGAAGGGATTTGTTGGGATAGCACTCTATTTCGAAATAAGCTATATCAAAATAATCTCAAAATAGGCTACACAAATAGTGTAGCTTATTTTGAGGTAAGGATGCTGTGTAGACACACCCTAATGGTTTGGGGAGCTAGGACTAGATGATCTAACACTCTCTTCTAGCCCTAAACGCTACCAGTCTGCCTGGAAGGTCGGGATCAGTGTCTTAATTGTTATTTCCTACAGTTCAACTGATGGCTACTGGAATACCTTTAAGTAATAACTAGAAGTAGTTGCTAATGCAGCCTATAACAAAGTAGTATGTAGGCACCCCTACGTACCCTGTGGCTACGTCTACACTGGCATGATTTTGCACAAGAACTCTTTTGCGTAAGAGTTCTTGTGCAAAAACTCTTTCAGAAGAGAGTGTCTACACTGGCATGTGCCTTTGCGCAAGAGATGTGCTTTTGCACAAGAGCATCCATGCCAGTGTAGACGCTCTCTTGCACAAGAAAGCTCTGATGGCCATTTTAACCATGTTGCCTGTCTACACTGGCCTCTTGCACAAGAACAGTTGCACAAAAGGGCTTATTCCTGAGCGGGAGCATCATAGTTCTTGCGCAAGAAGCCCTGATTTCATACAGTAGAATGTCAGTGTTCTTGGGCAAGAACTCGCGGCCAGTATAGACAGGCAGCAAGTTTTGGCGCAAAAGCAGCTGCTTTTGCACAAGATCGTGCCAATGTAGACACAGCCTGTGAGTCGATTGAAAAAAAACTCGTAGAGAAAAACATCGATTTCTTCAATATGCTTTTGGGGGTGTGCAATTAACCGTAAGGGTGCATCTACAATGCAGGGCTTAACTCGAAATAAGCTACGCAAATTGAGCTACATCAATTGTGTATCTTATTTTGAAATAAGGAGTGTCTACACAGCACTTATTTTGAGATACTACACTCTTGCTCCGACTTCCTCTATTCTTCATACAACTAGCCAATTAGCTCGTCATAAGACAGGATTTTCAGGTCTTCTCTCCTGAGTGTGCGCTCTCTCTCTCTCTCTCTCTCTCTCCTCCTACTTCCTACC